TCGCTTTTTTCGAACTCTCTGGAAAGTTACGTTAAATTGATTCAAGAATTCAGCTGTTACACTCGAGAAAACATTTTGAAACTCAAAATTTATTGGTTCTGACAGTCATATAACAATGATGTATGTTTTTCGCAGAGTAGAAGTCTGCTGAGGATGAACAAATTGTTGAAGCCAAAATGATTTCAGTTGAGCCAGAGCGTCTAACGGCCAAGTAATTAATTTTGTGATTATCTTGTTATAAGCTCAATTTTTGAAATGAGTGATAAATTTACAGATAACTAGTGTAACGTGATTAAAAATTCAAACTTGTTTCAATTTCATATCAGAAAAATTGTGATTGTACAACGTCTTATATTATAACGTCTTTGTCTACCTAATGAAGAACAATTTTCACCACATTTTTGAGTAAAGCCATTTCAACGTAATTACTTTCTAATGCAGGTTACATTGTAAGTAATTTTTGTAAAAAAAGTTGTATATCATTATAACAAGGAACATTTGAGATCGCTGTATTTTTTCAAAGTAATTTATGTTGCCCCATCATAAACATCATAAACTGATAATTTTCAAGGTTCAGTAGGTGAAGAGAAGAGTCGAAATCTTTGTGAGCGGTGACCGTACAAGTATGTTTATTTTTGGCGAATTAAAATTCCTGTGGATTCAATTCTATATGAATAACGTTCAAATAGTAGTTATTTTCATAGAAAATGGTTTGCCATTTTTTTGTTGTATACGGGTCAGAGTACAATGCGTCCACTGGATTATATTTTGTTTTCCCGTGATTGTCGAAAAGACCAAAGCCATTAACGTAAAATCAACATGAAATACATCAAATAGGATTCATAAAAAACATGATGAGTAGAATTTGTAACCTCTGGCGTAAAATGAATCTTCCAAAAATACTTTTCTCCAACCAGAATAACGACGCTCCTTTCGCTAGCAAAGTTAATATCATCAGGAGATGGTTTGAAACTGATAATACTAATTTGGTTAGCGAATTGCACGTCTAGTGACAGCATCATTTTTGATCTGGTGAGGAGAAAATGTTTCGATAGGAATAGTCAAGGAACTAAGGACGAATTCAATTCGTTATATGAGAGAAATATATAGGAATGTATTTGTGGAAAGGACATCATTCATGTTGATAGAATAATTCAACCAACCCGATTGATAGAATTACTATTATACCCAAAACCCTATGAAACGGAAGCGGGATATTTTTTTCCTGTTCTTGGCGCTTTAGGACGATCCAGGTTAATGAGCAGAACTCCTTTTTTTCTACCAAGAGGGGACAACTTCATTAAATAGCTTTTGCATGAACTGGCCGTGGTCAGTGTGAATGGCCGTAGTCGAAGTACCAAACGGCAGACATCATCAATGGTATGTACTGCGAGAACAAAAATTATATCTGGTAGTCTCAGTGACTGACCGGCGAGCTACGTGTTCTCTCGTACTTATAATTCCAGAAAGTCGCGGGAGTGGTATTGGAGATAAAGATTGGGCTGATTCTCAATCCTGATAGGTTAGTACTTTTCCGGCGTCGTTCTGATTGGCCCAAACTATTACTAGGTTATTCTGATTGGTCCACGTTGTTGATAGGTATGCTGCTGGCATGTCGATTGGAATTGTTACAATTTGTGGCCTTCTTGAGTACTGAATACCACGTTCTGTTGACCAGTTCACCTTCTTTTTTTCTGTTGAAATTGTTGGAATGCTTATACGTCTCATTGACGCCCTATGGGGTTTTGCGTGCGTGGTAGTGTCTTTCGTAAATCTACTCATACTGATCAGTGTCTCAAAAATAACTCAAACTATCCTGCATGTTAATCGTGCCACTGGGATTTATGAACCAAATCTCCTTGACGCAGGAACTTCAAGTTTTACAGGCCAATGGTTTCACAGTGCAAAGAATCAAACGTGATCTACATCCTAAAAAACAAATATTCTTACTTTGACCACGATACAACAGCCATTGATAGGCATAGTCTATATACCTTATACATCACAAATTGAGACCATTCACAAGGCAAATAATTAACTACGCAACATTATCAGAACGACCAAGGATGAAACAGAGCTGACATCCACCGGTATTCACAGGATTTCCTGTTCCTGTGCCTCACTCTACATCAAAACTACCAAACGTAGCGTCAACACCTGTATATAAGAACTTAAGAGTAGCTGCCTTCTCTTGCAACCAGAGAAATTCAGAATTGCAGAACATGTCCCAGTGGTGATAGACCACGATAAACTACTGAGAAACTGCTGTCCTTTCTAATTCAACGCATTGCCACACACAACTTCACACAGGCCACTGATATCTATAAGGTCCTTCATTAAGCACTTCCTATCTTCGAATTCGAATGAAGCAAAGCCTGTGTAAGGTATCATTCGTTTGAAAGATCTATTGATGCCATGATGTGTAGAATATAACATCATTCAAATATCCGCGACGGCTTCTCTAGGCGGAGCACATCCGAAACTTCCAATTTTCTATTACTCTGGTGCATAAATTAAGCTGGATTTGACCTATGGCATGGCTTTGAAGACTGCTGTGGTTTGTGGCTTATTCGCATACACCTACGACTCAAGAAGATACCTCAAGAAAAAGTCATCAGTGAGATGACCATTCCCGCGAATCGCTCGTGCAGAATATTTAATGTGGCTTGAGTTGTGGAGCACATAGCGCCGTCCTGTTAAAACCACTTTTCGTTGGTGTCCAGATCATCCAATTCAGGTCAAAAGAAGTTGGTGATCATCGTCCTTAGTGCTTGCCTTTGACAGTGATGGCCCTACCAAAGTTGTTCTTAAATAAATATGGACCGACGACGCCGCCAGCCCTAAATCCACACCAAAAAGTGACTTTATCGGGATACATTGGACGCTCTTAGATCTCATGTGGATTGGTGTTGTCCCAAATTCAACAACTGTGTTTGTTCACGTACCCATTCCTCTAGAAATGGGCCTCATCGCTGAAGATGATTTTTTGATGAAAATTAGGGTCACTTGTCAACTGATTCAGAGCACATTCAGCGAACACACGTCGTTGTCAACGGTCGTTTACCTCCAGTTCCTGGGTCAGTTGAATTTTGTACGGGTGCACGCCCAAGTCACGACGGAAAATTCGCCAAGTTGTGGTCCGCGAAAGACCGAGTTCTTGTAAGCGACGCGAAATCAACTGCCTCGAATTCTCCTGCATACTCTCACAGACAGTGGCGATGTTTTCGGAGATCTTGTATTTCGTTGAAGTACGGGTGTTGGTCGATCGTTTACTGAACCAGTGGACTCAAAGTCACTCACCACATTGCGAATACTCTTTTGCACATATTGTTGAATGTTAACTCCATCCATGTTGATTCGGCAAAACAGACTGAATAAATGACATCTAATTTGACAGATGTAGCTTCAACAAGATTGACGTTATCAATTGGAAGACCCTATATAAGCACCTCAACAATTTCAACAGAAAAGACATCCGATCGACATCCCACCAGAAGCATAGCTATTAACAACGTGGACTAACCTAAAGACAGTTCGGACCGATCAAAATGACCCAGCAGGAGTGCGGCCCAATCAGAAGTGAATATTTTCACTCCATCATTGCCCCCTTCAGCAACAGCCCGACCTTTCTCCCCACCATCACTCCCACCACCCTCTGAAATTATAAATACAAGTTAACACGTAGCTCACCAGTCAGTTGTCACTATGACTCCAGAAATAATTTTCATCCTCGCAGTGAATGCACATATCACTGATGTTGTCAACCGCAGTAGCAGACGAAACATTTGGTACTTGAGATTCTAATTGACCACAACCTACCAGCCCAGATTATGTTCTCATTAATCGTAACTCCGGCCATGTTTTCAATAAATGAAGCCTTGGTTTTTACAAATAAATGAATAAATAAATGAGGAAACACAGAATGCCCTGAGTTGGTAACCTGACTCAATAGTCCACGATTTTTTGTGAAACTTATTGAAAAATAGAGTATATATATCAACTTTCCTTTCAAATTTGTATAATTGAAAAACATCTGTATCTGTGGAGTAGGAAGGGTGAGTGTAGACCCACAGCACTTAGGCCACATGTGACCCATGTCACAGGTCACTAGGAGACATCTCCTTTATATCGGCAGGTGAAGGCCAAGACTCGCCGAACACACACACGTGGTGTCTCACGGCGGCCTTCGTGAAGGTTTTGGAAGGTACAGCGACATTACTGTCGTTGCGCGGCTTCTTCAACCTTCTTGGAGTTCCCTCCCTGCAGGGGCAGCCGGTTTCTTGCCTTCATTCAAGACGGAGCTCTTACGCACCGCCGTTAAAGTGAAAGACATATTTCAGAAAGAAATTCAATTCATTTCTGCAGGAGTTATCAATGATTTACTCACGTATTGCTCGGTTATCTGTGGTACGAAGTTTGAACTGGTGAATCTATGTACTTCTTGGTCAATATTGAATTTAGATTTCTAAATTTTGGATACTGTGGTTTGTATCCTTTCATCACAAATTTTTATATATGTAGTCAATATGTTCTTTCCTATTGCGTAATGACAAATGAGAGATATTGGAGACAGCCTTCGTTACTCCTTTCCCAAAAATATAACAAACAAATTTTGGTGCTTTCATTTAAATGAAATTGTATAGAATTTAATTTCTCTTCTATGAAAGTACTGTATATATTCAAACCAAACAATTATTTAGTCAAAACAGCGCAGTTATAACGAAATCAAGTCTTGTTTTCAGTACCTGGGTGGAATTCATTTTGGAAAAACATTACCTCACAGCTGAAGTTTTTCCATAATCGAAAAGTTAGCACTCCAAAAAAAATTGGCTAAGTGAAATTTGATGAATTTATTTGACCGTACTCAAAAATGTGATGCCACAAAATTCTTATTTAATGTGGTTCTACTTTTCGTTTGTTTTTATCAAATCTTGAATGACTCACTTACTTGGCAGTTGTCTCTTTTATGCAGTTCTACATTTAAAAAGCATCATTTTTACCTTTTCCATCTCTGCTACTTTTTGCATCCTCCCATCAAGCTCTCTCCTAATAGCCGCTGCTTGTTCGTCAGCTGAATCGAGCTGAAAATTGACAACGTTATTTTCGTTTTCCTGAAATCCCGAAAACGTCCACTTACGAGCAGCGCGTTGAACAAAAGTTGATGTTCGAATTTCTTCACGCCAAGAATTTGCTGGAACATATCGTAGAGTTGTTCCTTAGATAGAATCAGTTCAGAATTTAAATTTTGTTGCATTCTCGAAGGCCGTTTGGAATCTTCATCAGTAACTGCAAAAGAAATATTAAATTCAATGGTTTATACGAAACAAAAGTTGATTTTTTATCAGTATCAACGGAATACCCCTCAGTGATAAAGGACCAATGGAGTTCTGTTAAATCTGTTTTTTCATTAACCTGCTGTCGCACCCCTATGAACGATAACCCTCAGAAGTCGAAACTTGTGCGAGCCTAAGATTAACGACGTATTACCTTTTAACGTGTGATTCCTAACACGGGTTGGACAAGTGAAGATCGATCGTTCAGACTGGGGCTTGAACCACCGACCAACACGGCAGTCAATTCGAGTGAGTGAACAAAGCATCCACGTTGAACCAACCGGCTACCGACCGCCCTATGATTTAAATGATTTTCTTTGCCATCAATTGCACTTCTTGCATGAACTGAAAAGCAATTTGTTACAATGGAACCAGGATTGCCACCTATACTTAATCATAACGTATTGTATGTTATTTCTGGTAACTATACTTTATTATACAAACATTCTTTTTCTCACATATGATTTATCTAGGAATCAAAAAAGTTTGGTCGTGAATTTATTTGCATTTTTGTAGCCACATGTTGAATTCATTCAATGAAGCTGTAAAATACCTAAACGCCAATTGTATAACAATTTTATTAACATATATAATTCATCTAGAAAGTAATACAAATTATGAAACAACAACAAAAATCAATTGACGCTTCGTGACGACTTCATTGATTCCAGTGGCGCATTTGCTTTTTCAGCTGCAGGAAACTCTGAAAATTCCTGCAGAACCACATCATCTGAAGATCTTGATCTGCCAATGTCCTCTCTTTCATAAAACAAAATGTAGGGTGTCTCCAGGGGATCCAATAAATTCAAGACATTACCAAAACACTTAGTGACACAACTATCGTCAAACTTGAACCAGTCCGTTTCGTCTTTGACCAACGCGTAATAATGACCAGATTCAACGCCAGAACCACAGTGAACAATGACTGCATGAAGATTATAATAGTGGTCTGCTAGATTGAAGTCTTCATCTATTTCGAATGATAGTCAGTTAGTTTGGTGTCTGTTTGACAATACAGTCGATCATCACCCGTTAAAAGTTCCATTTTCAGATGATTTAACAATGAGCTTTGCACGGACTGGTTATTAGTCATATTAAGAAACGCTAGTTGTAGTTCCATAAAATCACATACGTTTTTGCTACCTCTTAAACATTTACTACAAAGTGAGGATTTTTCCAGCAAAAGATTTACAAAGACGAGATAGACTGTACGGAATCATTCAATCCAGAGCGGTCAGGAGTATCGATTCTGCTTTTTTTTTGCTCACGAAGAGTATTCAACAAGAACCCCAAGAATTCGGAACAATCCTCTTGTTGTCCTAACGAGTATCTAGGAAACTTCAAAAACTCCAGGAAATCGGAGTTTTTGAAGGAAATTGCGAATTAACCTTGATAGGAGACTGAAATGAGGGCAATGCATGATCTCATCAAAATTATATGGAAGAGGAATAGTTCTAAGGTATTTTTTTCGTTTCATTTTTTTGCTAGACAATGCTGCGGTTCCAGCAGGCTGAATGGGAAGCCGCGACTGTGTCAACGTAAGTGAAGTCACATACCACAGGTTTGCCGTATTTCCATGGTATGAGAGACATACCATCTGGTCGTTTGCCATCATCTCGACTGGTACCTAAGGGTTACAGAATTGCAGGAACATCCGCTGACACCATAGCTTGTTTCAATATGTCGTTCACCTGATGATGACGAGATGTACGCCCTGCACTTCTCCTGCAACTCAAACCATATGTACCTTTCTCATCAACTACACTACCGCAAACACAAGTATGAGGCACACAAATAGATAAACCTATCCTAAGTCCTACTGCTATTCTGAAAGATTCATCGTCTAATAGTGTTCCAAGAGATGCAACAGGTGAAGCATTCAGCCAAGCACCCGATTCCTTGATCATTTCTGCTTTCAGACAGCCTAATCGTATACACTTGTAGATTTCAGAAGTTTATCAGTTATAATGTTCAGAAGAGGTCGGTCCTATGCACTTTGTATTTTCTTTTCATCTGTAGGAGGAGGAATATTAGTTGCGGCATGCCAAAGTTATTCAGATTCAGCTTAAAGCACGTGTTGGATATTGATAAATATGGAAGTGAGGATGGAATCGATAAGATCAGAAACACTATTGACTGACGACCGAAAATCTGATAACTCTAAGGAAGAAGCCGAAAGTAGCCGAATGTGCACCTGTTAAAAATATTGAAGATGATACACAAATAGCTGTTTCACCGCAGCTTCTATTGAAATTATTGTTACACTTTTGAGTTCTTTCTGATGAATCAACAACTTCATCTACTTCAAAAAAATCAATACAGAACAGTTATACTTCGATTCACTTCACAATTATTTCAATTCTTCAGTTATTCGCTATTGCTTACTAACGCTCTGGCGAATTGTTTTAAACCTATGCTGAACTGAAATCCAAAACGTGAGATCTACAATAGTAGAATTCTTTCGAACATTCTTCGAAACGTTCATTCTCCTTTTAGGAAGTCGTATTTCTAATAGTGTAACCGATTCATAATTTTTTGGTAGGTGAGTAGCCGTATTCCTTTGAGTCAAATGGCAGCTTTAAAGAATATTAACATAGAATTTAATTTATATTTTCCTAGAACACAGTAATGAAAGCATTCAATTTTCACAAAATGTTATTGAAAAGTGGATAGTCGTGCCATACTTTCAGTCAGTATACCGTTGCAGAATTTGAATTTCTGATTGTTAAATTTGTATAATTTAGATTTGTCGCTGCGCTTTAACAAAATATTGTCGTACTTTCATCTAGTATGTTGCAAGATGTAAAAATGGTCTTTGTAACATTTGTAACAAATAGCCCGTAACATAATGTGAAACATTACGTTAAGGCTCCTATCAAATTGTAACAAAAGAACCGTAAGGACTCTTCCACACAGGGAGCTTCACGTCTCTTGCTGCTATACGAACGTTTATCACTCCTACCTACCGCCCATTCACACCGGGAGTCTTTTGAGTTCCTGGCTCCTTGGGCTCAGTCCTAGAATGGATTGCATGCGAGCTGTTGCCATATACCTTCTCTACCGTCGACAAAAACCTCGACGGCAGAAACCTCAACGATCAAGAATGGAAGGGATAAAGTTGCGAAATCTACGTTGAGCACCTTGCAGACAACTTTTTACGACTTCATTTCGGTCCTTATAAATGTCGAAACTTTTACCCCAAATAGCGGGTCGGTTGCAGACAGCACTAATTAACAGCTCCACATCGTAATGTGCCATGATAAGTAGTGTGCAGCATCAACTAGGAAAAGCCGTTTCAACTGCCTCGTGTGGAAGCCCCCACTCAGCCTCCAAGGAGGAGACGCGGCTCCCCGGCTCAAAGTGCGGGAGACGTGAAAGCTCTCGTCTATCGAGTCGTGGCGGCTCCCGCTCTTCGTTCGAAAGCTCTCGTTGCATTTTGGCTCTAAGAGCCCTGCTCTCTCTCGGGAGCGAGAGACGTGAAGCTCCCGTTGTGACAGGGCGCTAATGGAAGCACAGACAACGTTACGTTACAACTATGTAGTGTAGATGGAGTACTGTAGCATTAATCCGTATCAGGTTGATATGCCTCTCAATAAGCGATAAATGAATTTATGATAAATGGCATAACACGTAACCGTGATTGCATTACGGTATGGCTATCAGGATAGAAATACTGTTTGCATTTTGATCCGTAACACGGATCGAAGCATATTTGTCTGTTCTCAGCAGATTAGTATGTGGACATCACAGTATTGAACAACTCCATTAACCATCCATAACTTAAAAAGAAGTTTGGTGGCAAACTACAAAAAGATTTTTATAAAAATGCAAATACTCATCTAAAAAAATACTTAGCTTTACCGGCTGATGTTTTTAGTGTCATGGCTTTTCGAGTTTGGTCTTGGATTTTTGGAATTTCTTCCTGACGTTTCGAGTGGCGAGTGGCTAGCTTCTTCAGAGGTTTAACTATCATGGCTTGCAGTCCGATGACTACCTTTTAGGCTGCGTAAAGCGTATTTATGCCTTGTCATGTAATCCGTTGTATTTGTACCTGCATTTGTATCTGTATTCGTACCTGCACTTGAACCTGGAACATTAACAATCTTGCTGCCTGTTTTCCTGTTCCTTATTCTCGAATTCCTTAAAATGGGGTTCCATATTTGATTGAGGTTCGCCGCTTCTAACAGAAAGCGGTTAAACCTCTGAAGAAGCTAGCCACTCGCGCCAGCGAAACGTCAGGAAGAAATTCCAAAAATCCACGGCTTTTAAACTCGAATAGCAATGACACTGAAGAATAATAATTCGTTGTTGAAGTATGATAACAAGGTTCATAAAGTGTTATTGAAAAATATGGTTAATGTCCGACAATTAATAAAAAATGTAGATGAATTACGTATTTTATTTTTCTACTTCTTATTCAAATCAAAACATCAAAAACAGTTCATTTCATAGTTCATTATCAGTAAAATGAACCAAAAGTAGCTATTATGAAAGAATATCATGTGGGCGAGGCGTGGCTCGGCTGGTCTCCATCGGACCATTTTTTAGGCACAAACACCCTCTATACACCCCAAAGGGGTTACTTATTATATTAAGGCCTTTTTGGCACTTCTTCTTCTTCAACCCATTCTAGTCATTGAAAATCAAAACCAACAGGGTTGCTCAAGAAGTTACGTCATTCCATTGTCTTCTCTCTACAACCCTCAGGATATATTAAGGTCCTTTTGATATTTTTTTCTTCATCGAAAACGTCGACGATAACACCCTTCTGATCATTGATGATATGCTCTACAAGAACTAACAAGGGTGAACAAGAACTTACGTCATTCCATTGTTCTCAGGGATATATTTAGGCCTTTTTGACAACTCTTCATGTACCTACACCACCCTTACACCAAATGGTTGAGATAATTCATTGGACTATATCCATCAAAGTATTGTTACGACAAGTTG